TCAGGCTTTGGCCTCCCAGGAGCTGGCATTATAGACATGTAGCACTGTACAAAGTTCCCCTCTACCTTTTTGTCGTCTTCAGGTTCTCTCATGTCACCTTTCCCTCCTCCTCCTCTTTCATCAATTTTAGGATAGTACAGGGCCTGTCACTTCACCTATTCAGGAGGCTGAGGCAGAAGGGTCTCATGATGAAGGCCAGCTTTGACACAAAGTGAATTCAAGCTGTGCCGTGGTGGTGGCGCATGCCTTTAATCCCAGCACTCCGAGGCAGAGGCAGGCAGATCTCTGTGAGTTCAAGACCAGCCTGGTCTACAAGAGCGAGTTCCAGGACAGCCTCCAAAACAATACAGAGAAACCCTGTCTCCAAAAACAACAACAAAACAAAACAAAAACAAAAAATGAAGTGAATTAAAGGCCAACCTGGGCAACTTTGTGAGACTACCTAGAAATAAAAACAAAAAAGGCCTGGGACTGTATGTAGGTCAGTAGTGCTTAAGAGATATGTGAGGTCCCATCTTCAATTCCCTGTTTAAAAAAGAAAAGCAATGCTAGTGATTAGAATACATGTTCTGCCAGTGAACTATACCTTCCCCCAGTCTCCCAAGTCTATCCTCAGAGAACTCAATAATTAGATTTTTTTTACCTTCACTTTCAGATGTAGAAAGCCCAGCCAGGATAAAGTGATCTACAAAGACCATTAGCAAGTTGGTATCAGAATAGGGACCCTGTGTCTAGGTGGCCTGAAGAAACTCTTATGATGTTATCAGAAGTCCAGGGGATAACTTGACCCAGGCTGTGGGAAGCCTGTCTCTATTTCTGGGTCAAGGCATGTGAGTCAGGCCAATGTCAAATACAATCCTGATTGTCACTGAAAAGGCCCCAGGGTCCACTGCTCCCTGAGGGCTCCCATTCTGCTTTCTCTGCTATGGTAAGTACTCGAAGGCTCTGATCCTCCAGGTTTGTTTATCATGCTTCCCAGTGTTTTTCCTTGCCCTAAGGTATCTCAAAAACAGATCAATGGTCAACTGCAGACACTGACACTTTCTTGGGACACAGTGTCCCAGCAAAAAAGGGGTTGTTGGCTCACAGGTACAGAAACAGGTGGCCTGGGAATTAACTGCTCCCTGGAGCATAGATGTTTGTTAAAATAGATCAGACCTCCTAGATCAAAGACTGTGGCCTCTTGGGGCAGGCATTATGTAGACTAAAGAACAGATGGGTGACAGCAAAAGAAAGTTCCCCAGTATTTCCCGCTAATCAGGCTCATGATTGCATCTAAGGTGAAACAGACAAAACCGCAAGTGAGTGAACTGGAGGACTGGGTTAGTGAGGGACTGCATACAGGTGTGCTCAGATAACCAGCAAGTTCCGGGGACGGGGAGGGTTCAGTCCTCACCACTGGATAAACCGAGCATGGTGGCACCCTGTAATCTTAACAGAGGAAGCAGGAGAATCAAGAGTTTAGGTCATCAAATGGCCTCTCAGTCAGGTGAGTGGGCTGTTCTCACCGGGGTTGAATTCTCTTAGTAGGTAAAGGGTATGAGGTGAGTAAGCTGAGACCTAGGCCAAGGGCAAGACTTGAAGGAGTATTATTAGCTTGTCCGTCCCTTGGGGAGGGGAATGGTTTTAAGTAACAGACCTATTAAGAGTATAGGAAGTTCACTGTTTTATTAGAAAGAGCAGTTGGTACCCTGCCTGAGTTTGCTTTCACCAAGCTCCTCCCTGCTGTTGGGCTAAACAGCATGTGTCCTACCTGTGCAAACTCTGCATAGGCAAACTCTAATTAGCCTCATTGTATTCATGTCTGTATCTGTGGCGGGTGGCATGGTCTATGCAAGATGTTCATTACCTGAGGGGTTGTGGGGAAGACAGCATAGGATGAGGGGGCCTTGTTCACTGAATTGTTCACTGAATTGCTCTTCTGAAGGTCTCTGCTCCAGCCCTTTTCCATCCACTATTGTCACTTGTTCTTAGCAGTTGTTTGTCAGAATAGCTGTGGTGGGTTTGGTTGCCATGGTAACAGTCAGTGGTGTAGCTGGACAGGCTTGAATGCAGATGGATTCAGGACAAAGGTTGAAGATACAGGGCTCAGGTCCCGGATGTTCTTTTTTGTTTCAAAGCCTTTTAGTTAGCTTAAGTGGGCAGTCTTGACAGCTCTCAATGCTGTACTTATTATTGAAGGGTAGGGAAGAGATAGACCCCTCCCTTTGGAAAGACCCCTCCCTTTGGAAAGACCCCTCCCTTTGGAAAGACCCCTCTCTTTGGATAGACCCCTCACTGACTGTGTGTGGAGACCGATGAGGAGCAGCTGTAGGGTTTCTAACTTCTGTTCACTTCAGGCCTTCGAGGGTTTTGTTGGGTTCTGGGTATTGAACGCAGGGCCTGGCAGTAAGTACAACCTCTCACTGAGTTACATAGTTACATCCTAGACCCCTCTTTTTTTTTTTTTTTTTTTTTTTTGGTTTTTTGAGACAGGGTTTCTCTGTGGCTTTGGAGGCTGTCCTGGAACCAGCTCTTGTAGACCAGGCTGGTTTCAAACTCACAGAGATCTGCCTGCCTCTGCCTCCTGAGTGCTGAGATTAAAGGCATGCACCATTGCCGCCTGGCTAGACCCCCTCTTTAAACAACTTTTTAGATTGATTTTTGTGTATTAGTATTTTGCCTCCATGCATTATGTGCACCATGTGTGTCTGCAGAAGTCTCTGGCTTCTGGATCCCCTGGAACTGGAGTTATGAATAGTTTTGAGCCACTATGTGGGTGCTGGGAACCCAACAAGAGCAACAAGGATTCTTAACCTCTTAGCTGTCTCTCTAGCCCCAACCTGCCTGCTCTTTTCTTTCTTCCTTCCTTTCTCTCTTTCCCTTCCTTCTTCCTTTCTCTCTCCTTTCTATTTTTTAAAGAAAAAGATCCCTCCGTGTTGCCTAGGCTGGCCTTAAACTCCTGTGCACAAAAGTGATTCTCTTGCCTCATTCTCCCGAGTAAAATGGGGGCTGCAAGTTATGTGCCACTACACCAGGGTAGGGTGTCCTTTGAATGCTGTTGAGCAATGCTGCATCTGTGAACAAGTCAGGAAGGCCCGAAGCCAAGAGGGTTTCTGCACACTAGGAGACCCTGTCCACACCCAGCTCTGTCAACAGCCTTTCTCTCCTCTATTTTGTAATTGGGGTCAGAGTCCTAACTCTTCATATGCCTGTGCCCCATTTAAAACATGTAAGACCTGATAATGTGAGAAGATTAGGACTTGGTGTTGTGAATTTACCTTTCCAGAAGGTTGGCTGTAGGATTGCTTGAAGAGCGGCAATTCCCTAGGTATTATGGTGCAGTGGGAGGCAAACCCAGGTTTTCTGGGCACTAATGGCAATGTTTGAATCTTGGAAAACTTGAGTCAGTCCAAGGGCAGTAAAGACCTGTCTCCACTGCTTGTCTTTGTCTTTGTCTTTGTTTTGTTTTGAGATGGTCTTATGTAACCCAGGCTAGCTTGGACTCACCATATAGCAGAGGCTGGTACTGAACTCTTATCCTGCCACCTCCATCTCCCAAGTGCTGGGATTACAAGCATTTACCTACCACCGTGCCTGACTTCAGATTGCATGTCTAATGTGGCCTTCATGTTCTGGGATTAGAAGCATGGCTTTGAAGGAAAAGATAACCGTTATGAGATTGTGAAGTCAGGAGAGCAGTTTCTGCTTGTTGTTGTTGTCCTGAAATGTATCATTCATTCATCCAATCTTCACAACTTTGCAATAAACACCCAGCCAACACACTGGACCCTGCTTCCCCACCACTTTACATCCAAGGCTTCTCTCTCTGTGGGGTTAAGGACCATAGTCAGGGATGCACAGCTGTTTGTAATCACAGGCCTACGGCCTCTACACTGAGTACCTCAGTGAGGTTCTCAACTGTCACTCAGCTCACAGCAGCACTGAGATCTTGGGTTTGTGCTAAGTCTGTATGGGCGGTGCTAGAGATCTTAATTAATACTGGGTAATACCAGGTGGTGCTTAACCATCTCCAATACCCTTCAGGTTCTCACATCTACATCTAATCAGCTGCTGGCTGGTTCTGGCAGGGAGAGGGAGGACTTTATTAGTCTCACTGGGTCTTGGGCCAGCACTGAGATTGTGGCTGGATATCCCAGGAAAGATATCTTCTTTTGTTCTATTCAAGTTTGGTGACAGGAGGAAGCAAGTTGGGTAATAGCCTGGCCTCTCCAATTCACCTCTGCCCTCTTCCCAGAGGCAGAAGGCAACAGTCCCTGAGGTCTGCTCAGCTTTATCAAATAATGTGGCCCAGGGCCAGACTTGAGAGTGGGGAGGAAAGAGGTTTGGAACGGGGTGGAGGTGCCCAAAAAGAGGAACAAGGCCAGAGTTGTGTTCTGCTCCATGCCGACTCCCTTTTCTCATTGTCCACCTTTGGTTGAGCAAGCTCTTTCAGGGTTATTTCTCTGCCTGAGGCTTCCAAATGACTTGTCTCACTGAAACTTTTACTTCCTACAAAGCCTTCTTTTGACATCTCATGGTCTCATACTAGACTCCTTAGGACCTCGTATTCAGTTGCACTGTCATGCCTGTCAGTCAAGGTGGTCCTGGCTTGACCAGGTCTTTGTTCCTGCAGTACTGGGTTATTAGACGACTTTCTTCCAGTTCGTCTCTGGGCGAATCCCATTCAATTTTGGGGGTTAGCATTAATATCATTCCTTAGAGTGAACCCTCTGCTCCTCCACTAGAGCAGGAATCAAGGTGAGGTGGTCCTGTGTCATCAGTCCTGGCGCCGTTAAGAGGCTCTCAGCATGTTCTGAAAGCATAAGTGAAAGGTCTTTGTGACCGGGCGAGACGCACTAGCCAGCCTGCCTCGCAGCTGGGTCACTCCTTCCTCATCCCCGGGGCCTCCCGCACCTTGACCATGGACTGCTGCAGGAGCGGGCGGCTCAGCGGCGCACGCGCACTGTGGGCCATCTCTCGGCGGGGACGCGCACGCCCGAGGCCGCGTGCGTCACAACCCGGGCGCCTGCCGCGCCCGTCCAGCTTGCCAGCCCGTCGGTCCCCGCGGCGGCGGCGGCGGCGGCGGCTGCGGCCGGGTGACAGCAGCAGCGGCGCCAGGCTGGCTTGGTAGCGGAAGGGTCGCGCGGCCCGCACAACAAACGCAGACCCGGCCGAAACAAGGCGCGACGCGAGGAAGGCCGAGGCGGGCCGCGCGGGAGACCGCGGGCGCCGAGTGACAGGCCGGCGTGAGGGAGTGCGCAGGTTGCAGCCGCCGGCGGCCCCTACCCACCGGTCCCCTCGGCCGTCGCCGGCATGAGCCACATCCAGATCCCGCCGGGGCTCACGGAGCTGCTGCAGGGCTACACTGTGGAGGTGCTGCGGCAGCAGCCGCCCGACCTCGTCGACTTCGCGGTGGAGTACTTCACACGCCTGCGCGAGGCCCGCGCCCAGGATTCAGACACGCTCATCGCCACCCCGACGACCTTTCACACGCAGGAGTCCAGCGCGGTCGCCACCATCGAGGAGGACGGGGAGAGTGACTCCGACTCGGACGATCTGGATCTGGAAGGTAGGCGGGCGGGGAAGGCCGAGGTGCGAGGTGGGCACGGAGCGGAGGGTCCAGGGTGGGACCAGCGGATCTGAGGGCCCGGCGCCCGGCCTTGCCCTGGGCCGAGACCCGAGAGCTCTCTAGTCGAGCTGCTTGGGTTTCCCGGCGTGTGCCGATTCCAAATTGAGCTCCGCGGTTCTCTGAGCCGGAACGTTCACAGAGAGTGATTTGTCAGATCTAGCCTTGAATGAAGCGTGCGCGTTCTTTGGTCCGCGTGGTGGCGCGGAGCTTAAGTCGGTCCCGCCAGAAGCTGCTTTGCCCGTTGCTTTAGACCCCATAGCCTGCTTCCTTTCCGAAGGCTAGAGCATCTGTACTCGGCAACTTGTCCTGAATAAGCAGGATGATAACTTTATTTGCAAAGATTTAGGTTTTGAAAGAGTTACTGTCGGAAACCATTTTTTTAAAAAGATTAGCTTAGGCTGCCCTCGAACTTGTGGCATCTTCCTGCCTCTGCCCCAGTGAAAACATTTCAAGCAAACACATGAGAAGGCAGATAGACTGAACCCCTTTCTCAATGCTGTCACTCACATTCAACAGTTGAACCAATCCCCCTCAATGCTGCTATATTCAATAGTTGTCAGTATTTTTCACCTTTCCCCAACCTCCCTTTGCTTAAGTATTTAAAGGAAATTTCAGTTAGGTCATTCCGTCTCTGATCGGTTAATTATGCATTTCCTTTTCTTAAAATGTAATTGCTTAAGAATTTAGAAATTTAAGATTTCTGTATGAGTTAAAACAGTTGAATAAAATTGGTGAGCATAATCAATACCTTGTTTACTGTGTTGGTTGCAGGAAGGTGTACAAGTAGCACTGTGTTCATTTGATTTGAGTAAGGGTGTCAAGGAGCAATTTCATAATTTCATGGTTGCTTCCGCTGTGCTCCATTAGCTTAATAGAGTCAGCCTGCTTTTTAAATTTTTTATTTATTACCTTTTTTTTTTGAGACAAGGGCTCACTATGTAACCTTGGATGGTCTGCCACTAACTGTGTAGACCAAGTTGGCCTTGAACTCATGAAATCTGCCTGTCTCTGTCTCCTGAGTGGTGCTGGGATTAAAATGTCCAGCCCGATGCCCAGCACCTGCAGGTTTGTTTTTGATTATGTGCTAGTGTGTATGCCACACGTGTATATTTACTGTAGTCTGGTGCTGTCAGAGATCAGAGTACATCAGGAGCTGGAGTTACAGGCAGTTGTGAACTGTCTAATGTGAGTGCAGAAAATGCACTCAGGTCCTTTGCAAGAGGAGCAGCATTCAGCCGGGCGGTGGTGGCGCACGCCTTTAATCCCAGCACTCGGGAGGCAGAGGCAGGCGGATCTCTGCGAGTTCGAGACCAGCCTGGACTACCAAGCGAGTTCCACGACAGCCTCCAAAGCCACAGAGAAACCCTGTCTCGAAAAACCAAAAAAAAAAAAAAAAAAAGAAATGAAAGCAATGATAACCATTTTCTAGGAATAAGGTGGGTTTTTGTTTGTTTTGTTTTTGGGGGGGGTTGGTTTTGGTTTTTATTTTTCGAGACAGGGTTTCTGTGTATTGCTCTAGCTGTCCAGGAACTCACTCTGTAGACTAGGTTGGCCTCCAAGTACCACCATGCCCGGTTTACTAGGATGGTTATTAATGAAAATAGTATACACACACACACACACACACACACACACACACACACACACACACACACACACACACACGAGTGTGAATAAGTTGAAACCCCAAATTGGACTGTACAATGTCCAGCCTATATTGAAGTTATTTTAGTAGGTCCTCAACAGGTTAAACATTGAATCCATAGAGTGGATATGTAGCCAAAAGATCTGAAAGCAGGTGGTTACATACTTGCATGATTAACTGATCATTGTAGTGTTATTCACAGTAGTGAAAATTCAAATGGATGAAGTGTCCACAAATAAGACAGTATGTACACAAACACACACAATGGAATGTTATTTAATCTTAAAAAAGAAATGGAATTCTGATACAGGCTACCAATACAGATGATGTTACAACATTGAAAACAGACTAAATGAAGGTGGTGGGCATAGTGACTCATGTCTGTTTCAAAAAAACCAAAACAAATAAAGTAAAAACATGCTAATTGAAGTGAGCCAGATATAAAGGACAAATATGGGATTTCACTTATAGAAGGTACCTGGAGCTGGGCCATGGTGGTTTACACCTTTAATCCCAGCACTTGGGAGGCAGAGGCAGGCGGATCTCTGTGAGTTCAAGATCAGCCAGGTCTACAAGAGCTATTTCCAGGACAGTCTTCAAAGCCACAGAGAAACCCTGTTTCAGAAAAAGAAAAAAGAAAAAAAGGTACCTATAATGTGTGTGTGTGTGTGTGTGTGTGTGTGTTTGCATGTATGTGTCTGTACACATGTGCCCAACCCCTGGAGCTAAAGTTACATACAAGGGGTTGTCAGCTACCATGTGGTGCTGGGAGTTGAAACAGGGTTCTCTGAAAGAGCAGCCAGTGGCCTTAAGCACTGAGCCAACTCACCAGCCCCTTTTATTTTTATTTTATGTTCCAGCACTGAGTCACAGCCCTCCCTTCAGAGTATTGTAATTAGTGAGTGCAAGACTTCTGCTGGGATAATAAAATTCTGGAGTCGGATGGTGTTGATGGCTGTCATTACATCCAGCTCTTGGCTCCTTCTTTTGAGTTTTGCTGTGTTGCCTAGGTTGTTTGCAAACTCCTGAGTTCAGGTGTTCCTCCCTCCTTAGCTCTTTTTGATGTCAGTATGCTTTGCCTTCTGTTTCTGGTCATTGTTATTTGGATATGCCACATTGTATGATCAGTTAATGGTCTCTTAGATGTTTCTGCTTTGCAAGTAGAGTGAATGTGCTGCTCTAAACTCTGGTGCATGTTTACCCTGTGGCTGTATATTTTCATTTCTCTTGGGTATATAACCAGAAATACCAAGCCCTCCCTCCTTTTTTTCTTTCCAGACAAGGTTTAGCAACTGAACTCAGGCCTGAACTTTCTATCCTCCTGCCTCAGCCTTCCCAGTGCTGAGATTGAAGACTAGTACCACCACTCTAGACCCAGCCTCCTTTTTCTCTTTTTCTTTCTTTAGATAACTCAAATGTAGATGGTAAGAAATAGATTTATTAAGGAAAAATGAAAAAATAACTCCTTTGAGTGGGAAAGACTTCAAGTGAGAAATACCCGAACTACTTTTTTCTTTTCCTTTTTATTGCTTAGAAGGGTCTCACTGTGTAGCCTCGGCTGCCCTGGAGCATGCTATGTAGACCAGGCCGTCCTTGAACTTACTAAGCTATGCCCTTCCCTATACTAGAACAAACTAGTTTCTTAAGTGCTTACCATTTTACATTCCAACCCCCAGTGTATTGAGGATTTTAATTCCTCCATGTCCTTCATGGTTCTAATTTGCATTTCTCCAGTGATGGCTAATAATGCTTGGTGAGCATCTTCCTGTATCCTGTTGGTCATTTGTGTACATCTGCAGGATTATCTTCAGATATTCTAGTTCAAAAGAAAAATTATTTTAATTTTTAGGTTAAAAGCCAGGCATAGTGGCATGTGCCCTTAATACAAACACAGGCAGAGGCAGGTGGATCTTAGTGAGCTCAAGGCCAGCTTAGTCTACAGAGTGAGTTCCAGGACAGTCAGGGCTATGTGGAGACTGTCTCAAAAGAACAACAAATTAAATAAAAAAAAATTAGATTTGGGGGTAGCAGGAGTTATTCATATACAGTGGAAGAGTAGCCAGTGCTCTTAACCACTAAGCCATTTCTCCAGTCCCTCATTCATTTATTTTTAGTGTATGTGTGTATGTGTTCACATATATATGTGCATGTGTATGCCATGTCTGGCTTGTGGCAGTCAGGGGACAACTTTTTTGGAGTGAGTTGTCTTCCCATCATATGAATCTAATGGGTTGAAGTCGGGGCCTCAGGCTTAGCTAAAAATGCAGAGAAGCCAACCCTGATGATGAACACCTGTAATCCCAGCAGTTAAGACAGGATTGGGAGTTTCCAGTCAATCTGGCTACATAGATAGAATATCTGCAAAACAAATTTTTTAATAATTCAAGCAATTGGATATCCCTTTGCAAAAACATATCAACATACACAAAAATAGCTCCAAATGTGCTGAAGAACTGGTTGCAGTATCTGAAACTATAACTCATAATAAAAAATAAAAGGGCTAATCAACCCATTTCGTTTTGTTTTTGAGAAAGGGTCTCATGTAGGACCTGGATAACCTTGAGTTTACTCTGTGGCCAAAAATGACCTTGAGGTTGGGATCCTCTTGCCCCCACTTCCTGCATGCTTAGATTACAGGCATGAGCCACCACACCTGGTTTTCCATTTTTTTGTTAGTCTTGTGGCTTCTTTGGAGCAGATTAGTGAGGCTTCAGGTTTGGTGACTCCATAATCATTAAGTACTCTATTTGGCTTGCTGTTTTCAAACCAAGTGTTCAATGCTTAGTGTCTCTGCTTACAAAACAGAAACACTACCTGCTTGGCAGTGTGCCAGGGTTCTCGTGTTTAGATTTTCAGATGATTCTGAGTTTGGTTAACTTCAGTGCACACCAGATTTTAAAATTGGCTTACAGGTTGGATGTGGTGATGCACAAAGGGTTTCATAAGTGTGAGGTCAGTTAGGTCTACATAGCAAGTTCTAGGGCCATCTGAGGCTGCATAATAAGACCTTGTCCCAAAAGAGAGGGGGGTGCAATTTAGTAAAATGAACGAACATTACTAGTCTCTTTTTTTTAAAAAGATTTATTTTTATTATTTTTAATTGTTCCTGTATGTATCTGTGTGTGATTATATGCACATAATTATATATACCTACAGAGGCCAGAGGCATTGGATCTCCCTGGAGGTAGAGCTGTAGTTGCTGTGAGTCCCCTGATGTGAGTGGTGCTAGGAACTGAACTCTACAGGAGCAGAGCATGCTCTTACCTGCTGAGCATCTCCCCTCCCCAGTTTGTTC